TCTCTTCTCCTTCTCTTCTTCTCTTCTTCTCCTTTTCCATCTCTTCTCCTTCTTCCATCCCTTCCTTCCTTCCTTCCTCCTTCTTTCCTCTTCTCCTTCTCTTCTTCCATTTCCTTCTCCTCCTCCTTCCATCCCTTTCTCCCTCCCTTCTTCTCCTTTTCTTCTATTTCCTTCCTCCTTCTTCTTCCACACCTTCCTTCATTCTCTTCTTCTATTTCCTTCCTCTTCTCCTTCTCCTTCCATCTCTTCCTTCCTTCCTCCCTCCCTTCCCTCCTCTTCTCCTTCTCTTCTACCCTTTCCTTCCTCCCTTCTTCTCCTTTTCTTCCATCCTCTTCTCCTTCTCTTCTCCCATTTCCTCCTTCCTTCCTTCCTCCCTTCCTTCGGGGGCGATGCGGGGCCAGGGCCGGGGCTGCCGGCTGCTCCTCCTCCTCGGCGGGTGCGGGGCGAGCCCTTTCCGGCGGCCCCCGGGCGCGAGGCGGCTTCCTCCGCCGCCCGGCAGGCTCCTCCCCGGCCGGCCTGGCTGCCGCCCGCGCTCCGCCGCTCCGGCCATGGCGCTGGTCACCCTGCAGCGCTCGCCCACGCCCAGCGCCGCCTCCTCCTCGGCCAGCGCCAGCGAGGTGAGACCCCCGCCCGCCCCCCCGCTCAGCCGGGACCCTCCGCCCCCCCCGCCCGCCTTTGTGCCCGCAGGGACGCCAGCGGAGGTTTGCCCCCCTTTAAAGAGGGGGGGTCTGGTTCCCACGGGAAACTCCCCCGGGGGAGGGGATGGCGAGGCGTTGGGGGGCCGGGTCTGTCCCCGGGGAGTTCGGCACACCCCCCAAGAGGCTGAGCCCGGATTTTGCCGGCCTTGAAGTGAGGGGGGGTCTCTCCTGACCCTCCTGCCCTAAATGAACTGAACCCCCTTCCTGCTCTGGCTAGGAAGGTGGGGCGCTGGGCAAGGAGGGGGGGGTGTGGGGGGGTCTATTCCCCGCGGCTACAGTTGGGAAAGTTGGGATTAAAATCAGGGGGGACTGGGAAGGGGGGAGGGGTGGGCCAGCTCTGCTGGGGGGGCCTTGCCCGGAGTGGGGGGAGGCTCCCTGCAGGCGGTTTGGGGGTGAGGGGCTCTGGATGGGGCTGGGGGGGACGGCATCTCCCCCCTTTATTTCCAAGCCCTTCCAGTGACTTTGCTCCCCTGTTGGAAAGGCAAACCTTCCTTCCAGCCAGGCAGCCCTTTGTGATTAGGAGCTGAAAACAAAACAGCAGAGCCTTAAATCACCTCTGACTTTCCCTGCCAAGTTCTTGATCGCCAAAGGGGAGAATAAATGTAGCCCAAAGCTCCGTGGAGGGCCCGGCTGGAGACTGTGGCTGGGCACGATTGCCCAAATCAAGGAACTGAATCCAGAATTAAACCTCGGAGACAGGCAGGAGCCCTCCTGAAGATCAATGCAAGCCTCTAATTTTAATGCATGGGGAAATTACGACCACAGGAGCCGAGAGCCTTTCCCAGCATTGCCAAGATGATGGGAGATGAGGGCCCCTTTAGCTGGAGGTAAGGGAACAAGGCTTGTAGCAGACACTATTAAATCCCACCGGATGGCCTTAAGATGCCCCATCTGCCTAACCTACCTTCCAGGAGGAGCCCTGGCGTTCCTCCAAGCCCTCGGAAGGTAGGTGGGCCGCCAGGAATACGTCTTTCATTGCAGCTCTTTGGAAGTGTGACTGAGATTGTGCTGGGCTTAATTCTTGCTTTCCCCCCCCCCCCATCAGCTGGACGTTGGCAGCGATGAGGAACGCAAACTCAACCTAAGGTAGGCATGGACCATTCCCCTACTTGCTCTAGAGTTTTTCACTCGCCTGGCACCCCTCGGGAACTGGGAGAGTGCCACACCCATGGGTTACCTAGTTATTGCCACGTCTTCCGTGTAAACCTTGGTGTGCCAGCTGGGGTGCTGTTTCAGTCACAGCCATCAGGTTCTCCAATAACTGAGTTTAGAGGTGCAGGAATACATCGGGGTCCTGGCTTAGCACTCCCGCATGCTCAGATTCTGTGCTAAAGCCACATGCCCAGGTTCTGGGGCAGTGGTGAAATCCAATTTTTTTTACTACCGGTTCTGTGGGCATGGTGTGGCTTGATGGGTGTGGCTTGGTGGGCATGGCAGGGAAAGGATACTGCAAAATCCCCATTCCCTCCCCAGTCCTGAGGGAAGGATATTGCAAAATCTCCATTCCCACCCCACTCTGGGGCCAGCCAGAGGTGGTATTCAACGGTTCTCTGAACCTCTCAAAATTTCCGCTACTGGTTCTCCAGGACGTGTCAGAACCTGCTGGATTTCACTCCTGCTCTGGGGGTCTGATGGCAGGAAATTTCGTGGAAAAGAATTGCATTTTCAGAAGAACAATCAAGTTCCTTTTTTTATCTTCCTGGGTTTTGGGGATACAGTTTGAACCTTGTTGGCTATTCTGTACTATTTTTATAATCTCGGTTTGTCTGTGATGGTGGGGCTATTATCGTCTGTATGTAATTGCAATGGTTTTATTCCTACTTTAAAAACTGTCCCAAAGTGGAACAGAGTGACAGTATAAAAGGACTTCAGGTGAATTCCCAGGAGGGGAAAGCAAGTGCTTTCAGGGCTCCAACCTTCCTCACAACCAGGGTCTCCAAGGGGCGAAACTACGATCTTGCAAATGGGGTGCAGCCTTGGGGAGGGCGCACCAACATTGCCCCCATGCAGTGAGTCCTGTCTACTCATCAGCACTTACCTGCCATTCAAAGATCAGCTGACCAAACCAAGGCATCTCTGCCAGGGGAAAGGATAGGACAGCAGACTGGCACTGGCTGCCCACTGGGGGTGCCAGCTAGGTGGCATCTATGTTTCCATGGAGCCCGTGGAAGCCGCTGGTCCCTCTTCAGTCTGTCCATCAGCTCAGTGGCGGGAACGGTGGTGTCCTGCCTGGCGGTGAAGCTGCAATGCCGGCCGGCCGGTGCTCTTAGTCCAAAGGCTGAAGGGCAGATTGGTGTGTTATTGTCCCTTTTGGTCCGTGGGGGGCGCTCTCATTCCATCTCTGCCAGCCGGTCTGGCTTTTGCGTGACACAGTTTCATCCAGATTTTTGCAGGGACCGAAGCGACCCTGCCCTGGAACGGCCCAGGCGGCTTCTAGCAGGCAGCCAAAATGACCCAATAGGCAGCTCTTTGCAAACTGGTCGTACAAGCCCACCGCTCAAATTGCAGGCCCAAAAGCAAATCTCTCCCCCAGGATATGATGAGGGGAGAATAAGCCACCCGTTGTCCATAAATGCTGGTTTCTTAGTCCCACCCAGAGCAGCAAGCCTTATCCTAAAGAGGGAGTAAAACAGTGCAAGAAGCAGGATTAAAATGACGTCCAAAGGCCGGACGCCATTCAGAAGCAGAAAGTTAAGGTGCAAAGAAAGCCTTGCTGGGGGTTCCTGCCCCCCCTCCCAAGTACCTGGCCCAAGCCTTGTTTGTGGTCTTGACCCCGAGCATGAGAGATTTCCTGGCCACATTTTGTCCCCTGGTTTCTGAGGGTTTCCCTGCAGGCAGCCCACCAGCCCCCTATCTGAGTTGCCAGCTGGTTCCCAGGCCACGGTCTCCCCGGCCCACCGAAGGGCCTCCTTGTTGTGGTAAAGCCTCAACCCTGCAACCTGGCCAGGATGTGAGTCAGCATCCTGTTTTTGAACCAGTGGGTAGAGTCCGCAGCTTCCACCTCCAGCAGGGTCCCTCGCTGACTTCACCGACCGGACAATGACCACTTGGGTCCTCTGGAGTGGCCGCCCAGGACCCCCAGCCCCCATCTCCGGGTGCCCCCTTGAGGGATGTCCAGCAGCCCCCGGCGGCAGGCCCTCCTTCCCCTCCGAGCCGCTGGGGAGCCCGGCCTGCACTTGCCTTCCAAAGGGTGAATGCTGGGCCCCTTGAGACTGAATCTCATTTCCCAAAGTCTGCTTTTCAACTGGAGTTTAATCTGGATGGTAGCAGGGTGGTGGGTGAGCTGCGAAGGGCCCAGGCAGAAGGACCGAGGGTGGGTGAGCTCTCCCCCCGATTTCCTTGTCTGGGCTTGACAAGGGGGATTTCCCTTGTCTGCTGGACCAGCCAGCCAGCGCAGGTAAAGGCAGAAACACCTGTCCTGAAGGATGCTAAAGGTAAATATCGGTGCTTAGGAAGTGAGTCTTGCCCTCTGATGCTGACCCGGGCTGCAAATGGACTACTCTAGCACCCATCATCCAGGGCAAACTTTGATAATGGTCCCATTAGTAGGGGAGAAGGCTCCCAATTCCAGGCCATTGGGGTCTATAGAGATTCAGACTGACCCTCGGAATCAGGCGCTGATGCCCGCAGGACACTTGGCCTGCAAAGGCATAACTCTGGAGGTCAGCTCTTGCGTGTTCATATTTCATGGCATGGTCTCTGCTGGGGTGGGGTGGGAGTCTGCCTCTCCCCCCCCCCCCGCATTCATTATCTATCGGCAAGGCTTTTATCCCCAGGGAGGTTGGAGGGGGATGGGGCCGGTCTTCACTTAAATGGGGGTCCTTGCTTGCATTGCAATGACCCTCCTGGAAAAGAACTCCTTTGTGTTTCTCCCAAGCCTGTTGCACGATGGGAAATGGGGGATTAAGCCCCCCTCCCCCTCGCCCGTCCCCTGGATTGGTCCCAACGCAGCCGCCTTCCTCTGCTCAGGCCGCTCGGGTAGCCCTGACCCCACAAGGATTAGAACTGGAATAAAGTGGATCCCAAGATCCCGAGGCCTGCCTCGCCCGCCACTTCCTTCTGCTGAGAAATTTGTGGGTTCCTCAAAAGATTTCTTCTCTCTACCTCCCCCCCCCATCTTACCCCAAAAGAGACTTTGCATCCGTGCTGTGAGTGACCTGGGGTCTCTGGAAACGCGGCTTGGAATTTCTGGCAGCAAAGGCGGCCCACGCCTCAGCAGCCACACAATGGCCCCTCACAAAGAGCTTTTGTTGGTGCAGCTCTGCAGACACAGCGAGCGAAGCTCTCCAGCCCCAAAGCTCACTCCTCCTTCAGCCCTTCTGGCCATTCGGCCAAGAGGCACGGTGGGGGCTGGGTTTCCCCTGAGACCAACGAGATGATGCCTCCAGAAGACCCAACCGCTCTGCTCCTCAGGGTTGCTTCAAGCACCTTTGGACGGACGGCCAAAGGTTGGACCTTCCCAGAGCTAAAAGTAATTCCTTGAATTGCTTCTGGAAAAGCCAAGCAGATCCCTTTGAGAGGTGACCCTCGCACAGCGCTTCCTTTTCTGGAGATGTCCTCTCTGAACAAATCATGGCCATCGATCAACTCTTCATTATGGATTGACTCATTTTTGACAGTCCTTGTGCCAGACCCTTTGCGGGGGGAGCCCCAGAAGGGGAATGTCCAAGAGAAGGACCTTCCTGGCCTTTGGGCTACGTGGTGCCGTAGCTGAAGCAGAGATGTCTATTCTTTGAATTTCAGGATCTTGAGTCTTAGAAAAGCCACGTTAAAAACTCTGGGTTTTTTGGGGGAATATAGAACTTTGGAAGGTCTCAAGGTCTCAAAGCTGGCAAGGGTCTCGGCACTGAAAGTTGATGACACTGCTGTCCAAGAGCCCCTAACAAGGGCAGGGTCTTTGAAACCTGGAGGAGGGATGTGCAGAACGTGGCCTCCCCCCACCCAACTTTTTCTGAAAGAAGCAGACCCTCAACCACAAACCTGTCACAAGTCTTTGAGATCTGACAGCGGGGCCTTTGGCTGGCTCTACAGGGTTGAGAGCCAGCTCTGCGATTCCATTCCCATGCCTTAATTTCCTTCTGCGGCTCCAGTTAGATATGGCTTTCCTTGCTTCCTCGGCTGGGAAGGAGGTCCTGTGAGTTCTCCAAACGGTTGAGGGACAAGAGGGGGCTCTGTTCATCTCCACATGAGTCTGAAATGGATTGAGAGAAACAAAACCAGTACATTATTCTAGTCTGTTCTGAACTCATTGGCTGCTCCTTAGACGTGTGAGTATTTCAGACTTTAGGTGCCCTGTTTTCCCTTCTCTCCTTCCTGAATGTTTTCATAGGTAAACATTTATGGGAGAAGGAAAACCAGCTTTGGGTGGGTGTCTCAACTTCTCCTCCCACACCAGCATTTAAAATGAAGATGGTCCATGACTAAACTTTTGGTTGGACAGTAGTCAGTTCTGAACGATTCATGACCCAGATTTCGCCCCTGTGCCCTTCTGGATATACCAGGACAACTGCCATCATCCTTGCCAGTGCATTGAGCTCAGGAGACCCAGGAAGGCTTTTATTTTCCATGGAAAAGTCTCCTAGGATAGTTGGTTTCCAAGCTGTCTCGTTTCCCTCTGTCTGCTTCTCAAACGCTGCCCACTGAAATTGGACCCTAACCAGATTCCCCAGAGGTGGTCTTACTCTCCCAGGACCACATGCAAGTCCTGAGGTGGGCGGTGAGGAATGCCGGCCCTTCGTCCCTCAGGCTGACCCCTTTGACTCTCCCAAGGACAGCCCAGAGGATCTGTCCTGCTAAGGAAGCAAAGCAGCTTCACGGAGCTGGTGAGCGAGCAAAGGCTGTGGGAGGGGCGGGATCTCACGAGCATCGCTCGGTCCCCCTTTCCTTTTGAAAGCCCTCTTTCATCAGGATGGACGAGGGCAGGTCCTTGCGCTTGTTTGGGGCCAAGAAGATATCGTGGGGGGGGGAGGTTTAGGGCTCCATAAAAAGTCCTCCATTCCCGAGTGACGTGGAGAGTCCTCCCTCCTCCGCCCAGAAGGATCGGTTGGCTTTTTCATTCCCACCAAGGAATGTCGAGAAGCTCAGCACAATGACTTGAAGACTTGGTTATGAACCTTTCTGACTTTGCTACCTTCTGCCTGTCCTTTGGGGCCGCAAAATGTTTCGGCTGCTTAAAGAAGCCCCATCCCAAGCCGTACGTATGCTGCAGCCTTCCTGCTCCTACAGCTTTGCTAGAGGCTGAGACCTTCAGAAGGTCTTGAGGCTCCGTTCTGGGGGTGGGGGGGGTGAGTTGTGTTTTTCCGTGAAGGCTTCTCAGCCGTGTTTGCTCCAAACTTCACCTGAGCTGGTGGGAATTCAGCTGCAGAAACGGTTGGGTTAGGCTGCTGATTTTAATGGTTGATTTTCTCTTGATGGGGCTTAAGGCCAAATGTGTGGCTAGACTCATGTTATGGAGAGGATCCTGTGGTTGATTGCTGAGGTCACCACTGAAGGACGGGGAATGTATGGCCCTTTTCTTACATTTCTTGTTGCTAATAAATCCTTTGACAAATCCTTTGTCCGATGGGTTGAATACTTGAGCTGTCGGAGTGGGCTTTCTTGGGTTGAGTTGATGGCTGTGGGATGATCTCACTTGAGCCTGATTGGGCCGTGGTCAGGATTATGGGCAGTTAGTAATTCCTCTCCCTTTGATCATAAACAGGAATTGTGTGCAGTTGTTCTCCGAATGGCAGGAAATGTCGGGAAAGGTGTCCTGTCAGACTTCGCGTGTTTTCTCAGACTTCCCATCAGTGTCACTCATTGTACGCTGACCCCAATGTCCATTCTGACTTTTTTTTCAGCCTGGGGCTGTGAATCAAGTCTCACTTGACATTTGATGTTCAGGACTGTTAATCAGATAAAAGGCTTGGTCAACTAGCAGCCAGCCTTCTGATGGATTTTATGGTCCGGTGAAATGCAGACTTGATGGGATCTCACACAGATTCAGCTGGTCACGTTGTCAGGGGGGAGTAGCAGCTTCTGGGGTGGGTGGGTGAGACCCTTTCTGCAGCCTATACTCTACGTGTTTAATCAGGTGAGTGTGGATATCCTCCTTTCCTAGGACAATACTATCGTATCGGTTCTTTCTCTGTAAAATAGACTTATTGCTAGGTTGGGCTCCAAAGATGGTAGACTGACCATATTTGAATGAAAGTGAAGATCCAGAGACTCATGCTGGCTGGGGAATTCTGGGAGTTAAAGTTCTCAAGTCTTAAAGTTGCTCAGTTTGGACACCCTTGCTTTAAACAATTGGACAAATATCCTCCAAATTATTCTTTGTTGCTATCAGTCTTCACTAGGTGGGCCAGTTTCCTGTCCTGGGCTAAAACAGTGTTTATATAACCTTTAAAAAGCAGAATGGCTCACTTGCCTGCAGTTTTTCTGGGGACAGCCTTAGAAAACATACCGAAGAAGCCCATTCTCATCGAATCCTGGCTGCGAGACTGGCTTGGGAGATGTTTCTAGCGCAGGGGTCTCCAACCTTGGCAACTTTAAGACTTGTGGACTTCAAATCCCAGAATTCTAGGAGTTGGAAGTCCACAAGTCTTAAAGTTGTCAAGGTTGGAGACCCCTGTTCCAGTGAATTCTCCAGGTTGGATCCCACTTCTTCCCACCTCCAAGCCCTGTCTAGAAGGCTCGTTATAAATCCCCATGTGAAAATGGAGCTGAATGGGGTGAGAGGGACAAACTTTTTTTAAAAAAAAATCACATTGGCTCGTAACCTCCCTTGTGGAATTGGATAACCCAGGGTCATTACGCAATTCTGTTTGAAGGTTCTTATCTTTTTCCTCCAAAACTCTTGTCGGCACACCTCCTGAAGCAGACCAGCATCTAACCCCGATGGAAAATTACGCCGTCTGCTTCTGACGGGAAGCCAGACGCCTTTCTGAAATCATTTGCTAGCAGCTAAGCCTCCTCATCTCCCTCTGACAAGCACTTAAGTCATTCCCTTAAAGCTTGGCTTGGTGCCGCTGGCTTTTGGCTGGGGAACAAGGCCTCCAGTGTGTGGAAGGGATCGGGCACAATCCTTTGGTCCCACTAATTGTGTCCTAACGTTACCAGAACCGCTGAAAGGATGAGCCACCGGCTCTTGGGCCAAGAGCGGGGAGAGCAGGGAGTCCTTCCGTTTTCATGATGAGGGAGAAGGAGAACTTACTTTATTTGGAGATCACAGTACCGTTTATTGGCTTTGTAGCCTTTAAACTGAAAAAAATAAATTAGAAAGTAAATCTGTCCTTGGTTTGCAGTGCCTGTGATAAGTGCAAGCTGGAGCGAGGATCGCATCTCCTTCAGCCTGACAAAAACCGGCTGCTCTCTTTCCCACCTGGATCCAATTGGTTGGTGGGATTACTTGGTTCCACTTGGTCACCCTAGATGTAGCTGCTCGTGGAGAAAAGCTAAGCAGGGACTTGTACTTGGAGGGGAGACTGTCAGTAAAGAATAGACTAGACTGGGAATCCAAAAAACCCTTTCAGAGAAAGGCAACCACGCATCGCGTCCAAGAAAATGACCCGGTCTTGTCTTTGGAGGCACCAGGATTGAGCTGAACCTCAAGGCTCCTTTTCACTTCCCAGAAAGCTTGAGGTTGCCTCACAGTAGTCCGTCTGCTGCCCACCCTGCCTCCGTCCCTCCCCCACCTGACCTGCTGCTCTGCCTCTTTGTGTTGCAGCTTAAGCGAGAGCTTTTTTATGGTCAAAGGAGCTGCGTTATTCCTGCAGCAAGGAAACAGTCCGCAAGGGCCGCCCCGGAGTCTCCTGCATCCTCACAAACATGCAGGTAACGTCCTTCCGGCCTCTCTCCAGGTAACTTGGGTAGAACCGCTTAGGAAAAGCCAGTGCGGAGGAGAAAGGTGGTAAGTGAGGGTGGGCACCCTGGGAGCCAAAGGGCATGGATTGTTTTCCCCCTTGGTCCTGCCAAGGGCAAGGAGGAGCTCGGAGGATGGGCTCCAGGATCACGGGTCCTGGGTTCGCTTGGCAGCTCTTACCGGAAGAACCTTGTTCAGTGTCTACGGAGGGTACAGATCAGGGGTGAAATCCAAAATTTTTCCTACCAGTTCTTCAGAACCTGTTAGAACCTGCTGGATTTCACCCCTGGCACAGATGAGGTCTCTTGGAATGCAACCAGATGGACCCTTGGGGTCGTCCTTTCACCCTGGAGGATGAGATGGAAGGGTGACTGTTTGGGAATTGCTAATTCCAGAGACGTCTTGGGGATATGGGGTGACAGTTCCAAATCGGATTTGGATGTGGGGCCAGGCAAGCTAGCTAGGGCCAAAACTAGCTTTCGTTCAACTAGTGCCCTCTACAGGACATCAAGATGGGAAGATAAGGTAGTGGAGTCCGTACTTTATATTTCCACTTCAGTCCCATCCTGTGTTTGGAAGCCTTCCTGCCTGGGGACCAAGGAGCTCTTCTGCTGTCCTAAATCTGTGGTTGGCCATCAGGAAGTTCTTGAGAAGTATTATGATGGCTTATTAAGGAGGCTTCAGAGAGAGCAGACAGCAAAAACGAGATAACCTTATGACTTTTAATCTTTTCCTGGGAGTCATGGTAGATCATTAACCTCAGACAAATTTAAGATGGGTGGACTTCAATTCCCAGAATTCCTCACCCAGTGGCAATCGAAGTCCATCCACCTTCGAGTTGCCAGGGTTAAGAAACAGTGTCCTAGGGGACTGGGCTATGCCAATGACCAGGGCTGGATGGAGGAGGGAGAGCTGGGTTAGTTGATGCACCAAAACGGGTCTAGGAGATGCACCTGATGATTTATGCTACCTGTGCCTCCACAGGAGATTTGCCGCAGCACCTTCAGGTGATGATCAACCTCCTTCGCTGTGAGGACAGAATCAAGTTGGTAAGAGGACTTGCCAAATCCTTGTCTTGGTCTTGCCCCATGCAGCAGCGGTCTTATCCCAGTAGATCAAACCTTCGCAAAAGGAGTCGCTTGGGAGCATAGGGTAGATCTATGAAGAGAAAACCTATTCCTGTCAATCAAAGTAGCATTGGAAGCAGGGTATCCCCAACCATCATTTCTCCTAGTTTCAGCCATCAATGCTTGGTTGTAAGTACCCTTGGTCTCCTAAAATCGAAGTATTGACTCACTGACGTTGCTGCTTGAAGAACACAAGAACATCACTTAGATGGCGGGATCTGGCCTTCATCTGCCTTTACTGAGATCTTCTCTCTAGATCTGAAGAAGGCAGCCTGGTGCCCTCCGGGGGCATCGGATTAGAACTCCCATAATTCCCAGCTACCCTTCCCTGCCTTGTGCCACCCGGAAGACAGTGTGAGATGCGGTCCAACGTATATTTAGAGGGCAGCCGGTGGGTTGGAGAAAATTGAATTAAACCCTCTTCTTTTTGTCTTGCCAGAAACATCCCTAGCTAAACTAATACGTAGCTAAAGAGAGGTTTGTCCAAAGGGATGAGTGCTGAGAACTACCTTGCTGGTTTTTAGGCCGTGCGCTTAGAAAGTGCCTGGAGCGATCGTGTGAGGTACATGGTGGTGGTCTACAGCACTGGGCGCCAAGACACCGAGGAGAACATTCTCCTGGGCGTGGACTTTTCCAGCAAGGAGAGGTGAGGGGCGAAGGCCTGAGGAAGCCTTGGAAGAACAGGGCTGGCTCTCCCCACCCACCCAATCAGCAGCCCTGGACCTCCCGTCCCTCTTTCCCCACAGCCAGAGTTGTACCATCGGGATGGTGTTGCGTCTGTGGAGCGATACGAAGATCCACCTGGATGGAGACGGGTAAGAAGAGGGAGGACCTGGAGGGCTGGCAGGAGATGGGGAAGCTGGGGTGGGGGGTGGGGTGGGGGTGAGACTGTGGTGAACAGTTCCTGGAGGGGGGCAGGGGGGCCCCTTGTGCAAAGAGCTGCTGAGTTCCACCCTCTAAATCTCACGTGGTTCCATCTCTCACCTGCCCAATCTCCAGTAGGATTCCAGAGAAGAGCAACAGAGATGATTAAGGGTCTGGAGGCTAAAACGTATGAAGAACAGTTACGGGAATTGGGTGTGTCGTGTCTAGTTAAAAAGGAGGACTAGGGGGAGCATGGCAGCCGTGTTCCAGTATTTGAGGGGCTGTGATAAAGACGAGGGGGTCCACCTATTCTCCAAAGCACCAGAAGGCAGGGCAAGAAACAATGGAAGGAGAGAAGAATTAATGAGAAATTTCATAACGGTGAGAACAATTAATCAGTGGAACGGCTTCCCTCCAGAGGTTGTGGATGCTCCATCACTGGAGGCTTTTAAGAAGAGACTGGAAAGGAGGAGGGTCTCCTGCCTAGCAGGGGGTTGGAATCTGCAAGCTGCCTTCCAACTCTATGATTCTACTCTATTGTCACCTTTTTAAAATTGTAACCCCATGCCAATGTGTTCCAGTCTATGGCTGTCCCAGCCCCTCCTGCTGTGTGAGAGATACACCTGCTAAGATTCGGGGGTAGAATTTTATTGCCTGCCCGGACCCCTCCGCTTGTGGTTTGATCTGAGATTGTTGCCTGCTTTGAAAGGGCTGCGGTGTGTTTACGTGTGAAGAGCCACACCCTGGCCTGTGTGCGCTGCATCGATTTTTGTCTGTCTTTGATAGCGGGTTCAGCGTCAGCACGGCGGGCAAGACACATATCTTCAAACCCGTCTCGGTACAAGCCATGTGGTGAGCGACTCCCTTTCCCCCCTCTCCTTCTCCTTCCTCCCCAAAGGCTGAAGTCAGTGGCCGCTGCAGGCACCCAGGCGGTCCGTGGACGGCCTCAGCAGCTCTTTTGGCCTTGCAGTGGTCAGGAGGGCTCTGCTGCGCCTGTCGGTTTAGTCACCGTCCTCCTTTGTGCCTGCTTGACTGGGCCTCCTCCTGCTCAGGGTGCCAGGGCTGAGCAATATCTCTTTGGGTCTCCCCACTCGTAGGTCTGCCTTGCAGATCCTCCACAAGGCTTGCGAGATGGCTCGGAGGCACAACTACTTCCCGGGTGGGATGGCGCTCGTCTGGGCCACCTACTACGAGAGCTGCATCGCCTCCGAGCAGAGTTGCCTCAACGAGTGGAACGCCATGCAGGACCTGGAGTCTCCACGCCCCGACTCGCCTGCCCTCTACATGGACAAGTGGGTCCCTCCCGTTCTTGCTTTGCCATGACCTTCTGGGCAGTGGGGGAGGGTTGTCCCCTCTGGCCTTTTAGAAAGCGGTGTCCTTCCTCGCCTCGCTCCAAAGGGTAACGAGGAGAAACGGAGAAAGGGAATCTTGGGGATTTGAGGAGTATCTTTCTGGGACTTCTAGGAGGTTGAGTCTCCCACAGCATCCTGAGCATAACCCACCCGCTTCTTCAAACGAGGGCTGAGATGTTCAGGCAGACATGGACAATTTGGGATCGGCTTTATCGGTCAAGGCACATCCGTAGCTGCAAGCCTCTTTCTCTAAGACCCATGCCCACTCTTTATTCGGAGCGAAGGATATGTATGCGTGGGCACACAGGCATACCAGAGGTTGTATTGGGTTGGAGAGAACCAGGTGCTTGCAGAGGGTTGGTTGTGGGTCTCTAACCATCCTTGCTCAGTACTTCAGAAGTTCCCTTCCTTGACTATCTCTCACTTGTGGTTAAACAGCTGTTGGGATGCTACTCTGTGGAATCCCAGCTGTTTCTGGTCTTATACCTTCAGCAAGAAGATGTTCTGACCAAGGCTTCCCCAGCAGCACAAAGCCCATGTTCCTCCCCAACCTCCTCACTGTCCAAATCTGCTGCCAGATCCACTGGCCACTGGTGGGCCACAAGAGAAGGTGACACAAAGGCTCACCATTTGTCCCAGCTTACTGTTCTCTCGGGGAATTCTGAGAATGCTTTCTTGGAAGGCAGTTGTCTGGATTTGCAGCCCACCACAACTCTGGCCTTCCTTCCTTCCTCCCTTCCAGGCCAACCGAGCGGGAGAGAGCAGAACGGCTGATCAAGGCCCAACTCCGGAGCATCATGATGAGCAAAGATCTGGAGAACGTGACTTCCAAAGAAGTAGGCCCGAGAGCCCAAGGGCTGGGAGCCGGAGGCTTCCTTCACCACGGCTGGCCTCCCTCAGCATGCCCTGTGCGCTGAGCTCTCTCCTTCTCTCGGCAGATCCGGAACCAGCTGGAGAAGCAGATGAGCTGCAATTTGAAAGAATTCAAGGAATTCATCGACAATGAGATGCTGCTCATCCTGGGTCAGATGGACAAGCCCTCCCTCATCTTCGACCACCTCTACCTGGTAAGCATCCACACGGGGGAGGTCTCTCTTGGGAGCCCCCCCCCTCCCAGCACCATTGCTTGACTCTGCTCTGATTCTTTTTCCAGGGGTCTGAATGGAACGCCTCGAACCTGGAGGAACTTCGGGGCTCAGGGTGAGTTCACCCCAACTTTGTTGACTTCAGGGTGCTCTAGGCAAGTGGCCTGCAGGGGGCCTGCAGAATCCCGGGTGGCCAAGGTTGAAAAAGGCCACACGGCCAGAGGGAAAGCGTGTCCCTGGGTCTGTTGCACAGGGCTGAATTCATATATTTCCCCTCCTGTGCGATGGATGTCTGAACCGCCTCCACAGATGGAGAATATCAGGCCAGAAATTGCGGAGAGCAAAGAGGAGGACTTCCACGGGGATGGGGGGGTGAGGGGGGTGAGGGAAGATCTGGAGAGGGAGAGGATTATTATGTCTTTATTGGATTTCTATAGCTGCCCATCTCGGCAAACGACTCTGGGTGGCTCACAATTCAGCAACATATATTACAATTAAAATCTTAAAAGCAATTTAAAACAATAGAACTGTAAAGACCATTAAAACATTAAAATGGCTATGAAAATGCCTCCGACAGACCCCTCCTGATTCACGTGAGTATAGACAAGGGAAGAGAGGAAGCACAATCAGATCTGTGAGATGGTGTTTCGGTAGCCAGCCTAAATCAACCATGTCTCCATAATTTGAGACATAATTTTTAACTTCTTTAGAGTGGCGGAGAGTCTATTTCTTGCTCTGTCTGGTTTTTAAGATGGGCAGAAATGTACGAGTTCGGATGGAAGCGGCAATGTAAGGTTGGGCTGAGTGGTATTGATTTCTTAATGGCCCTTCCTTTCTCACGGAGACGCCACCGTTTCTCCCCTTCCCCTGCTGCTCCATCTGCTTCCATCCTTTCAGCGTGGACTACATTTTAAACGTCACCAGGGAGATCGACAACTTCTTCCCGGGGCTGTTTGCCTACCACAACATCCGCGTCTATGACGAAGAAACGACCGACCTTCTCGCCCACTGGAACGAGGCTTATCATTTCATCAACAAAGCCAGGTGAGTTTCCAGAAGCCACTTTGGGGTCTCCATTTCTGTGTTGCAACGCTGGGACCTCTGGGCGAGATACACCAGGAAAACCTTCCCCCGAAGGCTGGGAATGGCTTCCTTCCAAGACTGGGCAGCCTGAGGGGTCCTGCAGCTTTTAAAGATGGACATTTTAACCCAGGGAGTGTCCATCCTTGGCATCTTTAAGGCTTGTGGACTTCAACTCCCAGAATTCCCCAGCCAGAGCTGGCTGAGGAATTCTGGAAGTTGAAGTCCACGAGTCTTGCGGAGGTTGGACCCCCTGATTCTAGCCCCTTTCAGCTGTCCCTCCAAGTAGGGCCAGTTGCAGCGTCACTGTAAATTAAATGCAGCATCTTGAGGGCTTCACCAAGGCCGCCTCACGCAGCCTTTGCACAGGGGAGGTGAGACCTGAAATAGGGCATGGGGGGCTTGAGGGCCCCATCCCTGCTCCTGGCCCCTTCTAATCCCTCTTCTCTTCCAGGAAGAACCACTCCAAGTGCCTGGTTCACTGCAAGATGGGCGTGAGCCGCTCCGCCTCCACGGTCATTGCCTACGCCATGAAGGAGTTTGGGTGGTCCCTGGAGAAAGCCTACAATTACGTCAAGCAGAAGCGCAGCATCGCTCGGCCCAACGCCGGGTTCATGAGGCAGCTGCTGGAATATCAGGGTATCCTGGATGCCAGGTAAGGTGGATCCCCCAGGGGGAGGGCAGGGGAAAGGTTGGTCCACATTGCCCCTTAGCCTCCTGCTTTTGACGTTGGGTTCCTGAGCTCAGAAATGGACTCCGAGAGGAGGATGACTTTTTCCTCTCTCGGCCTCCATTCCTGCTGTGGTCTTAGCTGCTTCTTATCCAACCGTTGCCTAGACTGAAGTTCTTCCTCCTGTCTCCCAAGGCCATTCCCACAGACCGTGAGAGCCCCTTTCCTCCCCAGGGATTCCTGCGTGCTTTTGCCCCTGACCCTGGCGGCCTCTGACCTGGCCATCTGAATCCAAAGCCTCTTTGAGTCCTGTTTTTTTTTTCCCCAAAAGGCAACTTGGCTTTCTTGTTTTGTTTTTTCTCCTTTGAAAGCCGAGGAAGCTTCTTGGATGAGAAGCGAAATGTTTTCAAAGAAAGTCCAGTTGCCTTTGGGCTGGATGACTGAGACTCTCCCAGGCACGAAGCCTCTGAGCCCAGCTGGGCATTCCCACCCCCCTCTGTTTCTCCCCATCTAGCAAACAGCGCCACAACAAGCTCTGGAAACAGCAGGCGGGAGGCGGATTCTCCCCCAGTTCGGAAAGCTCCGCCGGACCCAATGATTTCCTGCTTGGCAGCCTGGAGGACGCGGACCTGGGGCCTCCCGGCCCGCCTCTCTGTGCAGACCGCCGAACGGCCCTGGAGTTGGTGGGCCTCCACTACTGCTTGCGGCGCCTCTCCGACTCCTTGCCAGGCCCCCGGGAGCTGTGTCTGCAGGTGGAAGACCTGGAGGCAGACTCAAGTCTGGAGGAGGACCTGCTGGGGCAGCTGCAGGCAGGAAAGCCGGAGGTCAAGGGGCGGGCCCAGCCGTCCAGCGCTGCAGACCTCGAGAGCCACCCGAAGCCTGAGGCCAGCCAGCCGAAGGAGGAGACGGTTCCTCGGCTGCAGGTCTCCGAGGAGGAGAAGCCCCTTGAACGATGGAAGCGGCGGTCGCTGGACGAGGAGGGCAGGCACAACTGCCAGAACCTGAATAACAACAACAGTAAGAGGAGCTGCCCGGATGACTTTGAAGTAAGGGCAGGGCTGAGCTTGGCCGGGTCTGCTTTGGGAGGGGTGGGGGGGTTCATGGGGCCCCAGGTTCTGGTCCCCCTCTTGACCACCAAGGCTTACTTTGAGTTCCTCCTTGTCCAGAGAGCCCAGCCCACCTGGCTGGGGAACCGTGTGGGCTCCTCCAGGGCCCTTTGAGGAAGGGGCTTCTCCTTCTCTCCAAGGACTGGGGGGGGGATGCTTCTCCTTTCATCCTCTCTTTTCTCCTTTCCAGCATGAAGCCCTGTTTGGGATCCTCCACAAAGTCAAGCCCCACTACAAGTCTTGCACCGACTGCATGTATCCCTTGGGGGGGTCCCCTCCTGAAGCCTTCAGGGACTCCCCGGAAATCCTGCCGGTGGAAGCCCCCGGCCACCATGCCACCGTCTGCACCCAGCCCCCCTTCCCAACGTTTCTGGAGCAGGCCTTCTGCAAGGCGCCTCTGAAGGAATCCCAGGGGCTGAGAGCCAATAGTTTGCTCCCGATGGTTGTGGGAAACGAGGCCCAGGACATCAGTCCCGATCGGCCAGCTTCAGGCTGGCCCTGTGGCCCTTCTGAAAAGCCCAGGGAGGCCCCTAAAACCCCAGGAGGTGCCTCGCTTGGCTCAAGATATTCTCTCTGTGAGAGAAGTCCGGTCTTCAAGCACGATCCTTTTCCAAGAAAAGATGCTAGGCAGACAAAGGACTTGAAATACTTGCTCTTCAGCAAAGATCTGGAGAAGCCAACCACAAACAGCTATCTGATGCAGCACCAGGAGTCTCTTCTTCAGCTCCAGAAAGCTGGTTTAGTCCGCAAGCACACAAAGGAACTGGAGCGCCTCAAGGCCCCACCATCCGACCCAGCCGGGCAGGGCAAGGAGTGTTCCGGAACCCCAACTGATGTGGCGACTATCTTGGAAGAGGAGCCCCAGGAGATGGTCGTTGTTGAGGGTCAGCTGCAGCCCTCCTCTCAAGATGTCTCGGAGAAGCTCCTGAAGACCCTTCTTGCTGCTGAAGCCTCCCAGAAGACCTCCACACCTGTCTCCTCCAAGGCGGACCACATGAGCACCTTCACAAAAGACTTCCTGAAGACCATCTCCTACACCCCGTCATCTTCGAGGAGCTCCAACCTAACACGGAGTTCCAGCAGCGACAGCATCCACAGCGTCCATGGGAAGCCCGGGCTGGTGAAACAGCGGACGCAGGAGATTGAAACCCGGCTGCGGCTGGCCGGCCTGACCGTCTCCTCTCCGCTGAAGCGCTCCAACTCTCTTGCCAAGCTGGGCAGCCTCGACCTGGCCTCCGAGGACCTGGCGGGAGAGGTGGACCTGTCGCCCTTGACCCATCTGAGGGAGGCCACGCCAAGCGAGCCTCCAGCCCTTTGCAACCTCCTCTCCTGGAAGAACACGGAAGACGGACTCCAACCCTCGGCAAAACCGACCCTGGGGAAGCTGAAGCACACACCCCGGATGGGAAAAAGCTGACACCTTTGCGGTGTTGTTATTTTAATGGTTACTTTTAGTTTTGTCTGTACTAAATGCAATTTTATCTTGTTCAGAAAAGAAGAGAGAGTTGCCTCCCACTTCTCAGGTGGCCCTTCAAGCACAGCGGCCACAGAGCAGGGACATCTGAGAAGAGGACCAGCCCAAGGAGAAGGTGCAGGGCTCTTGGGCCTCTCTCACGGCCTCTTCTGGACTTTTATCGGGCAGCGCCATCCTTCCTTACATGCCAAAAAATGTCAAAAGAAGCCAGAGATTTGCTTTGAAGGTCAAGCCAAGTGTTGCTCTTCCTCCTTTAAGAGTCCCTCGTGCAAGGACCCAAAGGGGACACAAATGCTACCTCCGATTTTCAGATCTACGTAGATAGATAGACAGACCGGCACCTCTGCGTGTGTACGTAGTTTAAGATTTTTCAAACCCTTCCCCTGAAAGGGTTTTTTTTTTCTAAGGAAAAAATAGTCCCTAGGTCAATAGGATGATTGCCCTGGCCCCGTGGCTCACTCAACGCACCTGGAATGCCAGAGGATTTCCAGCAGAAAGCATTTTTGCTAGCCATCGCTGGACTGAATATGCCGGCCAGTGTCCTCATCTGAACTGACCAGTGGCTGGCAAGGTGGTTGTTTTCCCTCCAAACTTGATAGTTTTGTTTGGGGGTGTTGGGTGGGACCCCCCTGAATCTCCCTCCCTTCTGCTGTACCTGTTACATGTAGGAGATGTTTACTGTTTCTCCCGATCCTGTTGAAAACTGTAAATCTCATTGTAGCGTTACCTAGTGAGGTACGACAGGTAATGTGTGTTTCCTGGGGCATTAAACGCTTTTGTTGATAAATCAGAATATGGCATCTTTGTTACCTTTAAACCAAAATCGCATAGTTTGAACCTCAGATGAAGGTCTTGTTTTTCTGAATGTCTATTGTTACTAGAAGCTGTAGTGCTAGTCGGAAGAAACTGTCCAGAAATGGCACCCTTTAATGTCAGAGACATTTAACTGTAATGATATAACTAATTTTGTTATCCTTGACTGGTGTATAAACTTTCAGGTTCAATTTCTCTCCTTTCCCAGATAATTACCTTTGAAGAATTGATTGCATGGGGCAAAATGTCCCCTGACATTTCATTCCCCATTCCTAGGTACATTAGCTCCGCTCCACGTTATCCTTCAAAAAAACAAAGAGAGGGGTTTGAGCCACAAGGAAATATTGAATACCTAGCATGCTAGCTCAAGAATCAGATTCCCCCCTCCCTGAAGATGGAGAAGTTTGGTGCATAAAATGGTAGCATGTGTGTTTTCCCACATATTGGCGATTTTTTTAACAAATAAGAGTGCCTTGCCTACAGTTTACAAATACTGTATATCTGGGTGAAAGACTTATTCTGCTTGGTCTCTGGTGTTTGTGATGTGCTGTCAATACAACTCTTGTGTCTAGTAGTGTTTTTTACACATCCTACGGGGTTGGTCTTATCCTTCGCCTCTAGATATTGGACTACTACGCCCATCAACCGGTATTGGCTGGGGAATTCTGGGAGTTGAAGTCCACATGTCTTAAAGTTGCCAAGATTGAGAATTATTGCCGTTTCTCCAAAGGCAACCTAAGCGGAGACCACAGTAGCCCAATACATATGAAGGGCAGCAGGTTATGGAAGTCTCAACTTTGCCCATGGAGAAGCTTTCGGAAAAGGTTTTGGGGGGTTATTAAGATCAGGTCAAGCAGATTCCCTTCACACATTACACAATAGTTGGATTAATTATTCAGCCTCAACTTCCTGTGTGTTTGTAGAAAAACACTAAAAACACAGAAAATGAAAGGTAGATTCCACAGGGCTGCAAAAAGAGATGAATTTTAGAGAACATGGCAGGCGTCTCTTGACGCTGATTTGACAGGTGGGACCAAATGCTAAAACCAATTATAGCCAAGGGCTACTTTGAACCGATTTAAAAGAAAAGACAAAATAATTGTGATTGAATGTTAGTCCAGTATTGATTCTACTCTTGAGATGGGCCGAGGGGAACGTAAATTGCACTTAATGGGGATTGACCCGACTTGGATTACCTACCTCGGCAACACAACCATCCATAAACGCCACCTCCTTGGTGACTTGTGTAGAACTTGTTGGGTGTATATTGGACATATCACAGGTTTACCTTGAATTGTGTGTAGCCAGAAAAAGCAACTAGCACTCTTTGTATCTGAAAATCACTGGAGGTTTTTTTTTTTTAATCCAATGGATTTGACTTTAGAGATGAGCCGGCTTTTTTATTTTTCCCCATTTTGGGGATGGAGGGAGACATCTCCTCCAGAAATCTCACCAAATTTTGCCTTTAAAGGCCTCCAGTCGGTGTTTGTTTTCTCTTTTCCGATGAGTTTTTCAGATTGCTTGGAATTGTTCTCGTGCGGGAGGGAAAGAAACGGTCGGTGTTTATCTTAGAGGAATAATATTGTCCGAGCCAAAGTTCGCCTTGTGCTCCATCCTAGCAACAAGAAGAATTCTGGGAGTTGAAGTCCACAACTCTTAAAAGTTGTCCAGTTTGGCCTATGTCATGGCAGCCAGCATGGTCACCCTGGGACCCTGTAGAAGAATTAAAAGCCAAGGGGCCTTCTGAAGTCTAGAAGGGCAACAACCTTGTAGAGATCAGGGTTTTCCCCACCACGGAAGATGCTTTGTAGAAAAACTCTAGTTTCTCTTCCTTTGAGAAATTGCATCTCTAACTCCCTCCAATGGTCTGGGAATGAATCCGTAGCCCTTAGCAGAAGTCTGAGTGATAGGTCTCTTCCACTCCTTCCTCCTGCATGCAAGAGAACAAAAAATGACATGCCTTTTTGAAATTCGAGAGTCCTTGACCACTTCTCCAAAGCAGCCTAGACAGAAGGGAGCTGAGCTGCTGCATCTTCGGCTTATTTTTTCTTCCTCCTGTTGATGAAGAAACACATTAGCTGTTACAGAACACGGCCTCATGTTCCAGCTTTTGGCCAGCTATGTGTGTGTGTGTGTGTGTGTTTGTGGAAGGCAAGGACGTCAGATGTTTATATCCTGTTATGAAGGTTGCTATGGTTAAGCCAGACAACAATCAGCAATTAAAGGAAGTCCCACCATTGGCTGATCGGCAAGGGAAGAATTTTCCCCCTGTGAAAAGTTCCTAGGGTAGGGTTCCTCCTCATGGGGTGGGGTGGGGAATTCATCTGGAGGCACTCCCCCCCCCTCCAAAAAGTCTTGCAGCTCCAGAAAAAACACACACTCCTGCTAAGGATCTCCCACGGCCTTTTCTGTGAACTGTATCTGGCGTCTTTGGGACGAGGTTTAGCCTCCAGAGATGGACTGAGATGTTTTCCATCCACCAGACCAATGTTGGGCAACCGCTCTGCTATCTAGGAAGGTTTCAGGACAAGGAACCAGGCTCAATAGCACAGTAGAAGGAGATGGGGAGAGAGAGAGAGAGAAACAGCTGGATTTTTTAAAACCCTTTTTTGCTTTGCTCTATCTTCCTCAAATCTCTCCTCCATCCTTTGGCAAGGTCTAAATGCTGCCCTTTTCTCCTGGGGAGGGGTTGCTGGGATGCTGAATCATCAGACCCAGGGCAGCCCTGCCACCTTTACTGGCCAGTCCGGCTTGTTACCATAAAAGCAGAACAGGGGAGCTGGCACAGATGGGGCTGGCCAAGGCAGAAGATGGAGCTTCTCCCCCAGCGGCCAGGTCCCTCCTCCTCTCCTCCCCTCCCCTCCCCTCCCCAGAGGCTGGTGTGAGACCTTGGCACAGCTGGCTGGGATGCCTAGCAGAGTCTCCGATGAGTGTCAAGTGCCTCACACCTAACAGGCCATAAAAGGCAAAGAGCGAAGGCAGTCCCTCTTGTCCGTCCGTCCGCTAGCCTGTTGTGAGATGGGAGCTGGACAGTGATGGCTGCTCCCTATTTAACTGAAACTGTCCAGTCTTTCTCCAAACCTCTGGCTGCATATAAACTTAGATCCTTATTTAAAACACTCCTCAGTGCAGGAGTTTGTTTATTATTAGCAGAGACCGCCCAACCCCAAGACGAGTCGAGCGCCTGAAGGAGATTGATGGAGATTCACCAGGCTGCTCTGTTTACTTCCAGAATGCCTGGCGTGTCACAACCCTCCTTTCAATCATTACATATCCCAGCACTATAGATCGAATCTGCAGCCCCTCCGCTTGCTGGCCAAAACCTCTTCTATTTTTCCCTTCAGCAAGTTGGGAACCAGGCTGAGCGTCACGGAGGAGCCGGGATGGGGCAGAGAGGCCTTCCCAGCGAAGGTGTGCCCGTCTGCTTTTGATCTCTCGTGCCCTTCCTGAAGAAGGGGACGAGCAGAGCCTCTCTTGACCATAAATGAATGCAAAAGAAGAACGTGAAGCGTCACTGCTGGGGCCCAAAAAGGCAGGTTGCTGGGAGTTCCCAGAAAAAGCTGCTTCCACCCTTTTTCTTCAGAAAGAGAAAACGGCCGAGAGCTTTTGAATCTGCAGCTCGTCCTTCCAGCACAAACACTCGGCAGCCGAGACGTTGGAGGTGGCTGCTTCTGTTCAGGTGGGGAAAAATCTATCGTACCTTTCCTTTTAAAAGTTATTTCTTGTCCCACTGTTGGATGCAATGGTTTTGGTCAGGCTAATCGTTCTTCTCTAGGCATAACAGGCCTTTTAAAAATCTGCATGCCCCCCCTTAGGCTTCTTATAAAATGCAAAGTTGACGGACTGGCAACGGGGCACCGATCTTGTTCGGGTTTCCTCTGCACAGGAATTTGGCCTGGGGGTTCCGGCCCCTGACGAGCATGGAAGCTGCAGAACGGCCCCACTTGCCAGTGAGCAGCAGCAGGACACAAAGCAAGCAGCCCCCACACCTCCAAAAGACCTCCAAGATGTCCCACGACGCTTGGGCTTCGATGGTGGAGCAGGAGGCTGGTGCCAGCCCCTCAGTAAAGGGCACAACGGGCTCCCTTCAGGTGTCCATGAGAGAAATACAATTGAGCCAAAGCCTGGAGGAGAGAGGAACAGGTGAGCAGATGTGCGGAAAGAGCCCAGAGGGGCCGGGCACGATGCAGGTGTTTCCAAAGCAATGCTCGGAAGAAGGCAGGAAGAGGAATGCTCTTTTGTATAGGCTGGAAGAAGCCGAACTCAGCATCGTCACCAGCCAGGGAGAATTCCACCCCTCTCCGGCAGCCTCTGAAAGGAAAAGGGAAATGACAGACTGCCCTTGGCCCTGGATTCAAATATATAACTTTGGCCGCCAGCAAAGCTGGGAGAGAGAAGCTGCAGGTGGGAGCAGAGAGATGACCGAGGCTCCCCGGGAGGCCCTGAGGTGGCAGATTTCCCGGTCGGATTCCGAGAGCAGCAGCAGCGCAGAGAGCAGGCAAGTCAACAGGCTCATGCTGAACTCCCCTGGAGAGGAAAGCAAGGCCGGGATCCTGAATTGGCTGGATTTTCCTGCCGGGAAGGAGAATGGAGAGACAGAGAGCCAAGAAGCGGAAGAACAAACCTCGGGCAGCCCAGCAATGGTCATTGAAGAAATGGTGGCTGGTCTCCCTTGGCCTGCCAGAGCTCCCAATTGCTGTCACATAGGTGGAGAAGGGAAGCCAGAGGAGTCTGAGAGCATCAAGGTGGACAAAGGCCTCGAGATAAAGAGGTCCACTGTCCTCAGTCTGGATTTGGCTTCTCCCCAGACTAGGAAACCCTCCAAGCAGACCTGCAGCCCCTCCCTTGCAGTCAAGGAAGATGAGGGGCTCTGTGGCCAACTGGGATTTGATTCCTGCAGCCCGGTGGAGAATTTGCAGAGCCCTGAAACTGAAGCCCGACCTATGGAGATCTCTGAGTCTTCTCCAAGCATGG